ATGTGGTAAATTTAGTTTAGCTATAGAATATAGTTTATAATAATAAAAACAATACTAAATTAATGGAAATAATAAAAAATATAGTTTAACATGCGTGAGAAATTTAGTTTACCTATGTTATATTGTATAATTTGCATAGAATATAGTTCATATTAATAAAATAATAAAAAGGCTTACCTTCAGATGTGTCAACAGGTTAGAAGTGGTTTTTCCTGAAGTAGAAATAGTCTGCTTACAATATTTACACCTTGCCTTGATGTCAGTAGGAATTATGAAGTGTTTATGTACCACTGATAGTAGTTTAGCAGCCATCTCAAATTCTCTCAAGTGACTTTATTGGATTAATAATCATCTAATACAATAACATTTAAGGTGGTTGGAGAGTATTGACCTGATTTAACCCTTTCACCATGGGCATCTTTTACTGAGTATGTCATGATGTTTTTATTATGCTACATTCAAAATTTAATTAAACTATTTTTTGTTTGTGTTATATCAATTAGTATAGCATAAAATTGTAGCTTATAATCCATAGTTTAATAGTACATAAGTTTAAGTTCTTAATCTTATAGGGCAATATTTAAAAAAATCCTGAATTTCTCATAGTGTGAAAAATGTGACTTCTTTTCTATAGGCATCTCCTCTTCTCTAATTTATTTACCACCCATCCAAGAATTACAAAACTTAATGTAAATTACTCATTATAATGTTGTTATTACTCAGGCAAAGCATAATTTTCATAGCTTTCAATTTTGTTTGGTTAGAGCCACCAAATAGAAATTCAGATCTCTCTTGCCACACCCACCTGTCACATTTTGTTTTTCAGGATTTGCCAGTATTTCTCTCTGATATTCAATACTATATTATTTATAACCAATAGAAAGCCAAGGTTTTTATCTATAAAATGAGTATTATATTATGTTGTTTTCTGTGGCAAAAAAATATTAATTCTTTTTCAGTATAAGCTTTGTTCCCACGAGAAAGTTTCCCGTGGGAATGAAACTTGTACTGAAAGAGAAATTCATGTGCTGTGGATGTAATAATGATAGTCTAGAAATTTAATGAGTACAAAAGTTGACATTTACTCTTACAGTATTAAGTATTCATTAAATCATTCAGCAAATGTGAATACTATGCCAGTGAATTAAAATACGATATGAATACTCCCAAAGCTGTATTTGAGTGCATTCAAATATGTATACCCCATGTCTGGCTACCTCACGTGAAAACACATCAGGGTAGGTGGGAGTATCAAGGCTAATGGCGAGTGAAAGTTTAAGCATATAGAGGGCAGTACAAGTCGAGAAAAACTTGTGCGAGAAGAGGTAGGAATCAATTGGAAATACATTTTCAATGTAGGAGAATTTTAACTTTCACACACAAATCAGATGTATTACAGAAGTATTTGTACTCAAGGTATGTTTGTGAATTGATGACATAAGTCTGAATCAAACTGTGACAAGTTGAAGTACAAGGTGATGTTCATGTGAAGAATAAAAATACTTTGGTCTATTGTACAATTTGCACGTTGCATTTGCATAGCCACTAGAACCTCCAAAATGCATATCTAGTTTTTTTTCAATATCCCTATGTGTTGTATTTGATACTTTCCCCTACCATGAAGTGTCACTAAATCAGGAATGTATGGTAAAATGAACAGTTGATAACTCTGACATCAAAATAAATAGAAACATATTGAATGATACTTTGTAAAAATTTGTGGCATGCACTCTTTGATCCCCACTCATGTATGATGGGTTAAAGAGTGCGTGTCCTGGTAGTTGTAATACAGATAGTTATGTAGTTTAAGTAAACATAATGTCCATTCATTGTATGCCACAGGTGGTCACAGTAGTGGTAACAAGAACAAGCATAATCTAAACAACAGGCTTTGCTGGGGTTGTAAGGCAGTCTTATGCTGCCACATTCCTCGAGAGGATCAACAATGGCCACTCATCCAGAACTGATTAAATTTCAAAGACAATGGTGAAGTTTAATATTATACCATAATGAAGTGGTACCTTTGGCACATTTTTGGTAACACTGGATATCTGATATCCAACCAAAACAACTATTTGCCCATGCCTACTGTTTAGTAAGTAATGTAGGCTTATACTCTTTAGTGTTAACATATGTATGTAAATACAAGTACTAGATCCTGATAATCTAATACTAATATGAAGTAATTTGTGATGCCCAAGCTCAGATTGCTTAAGACCCAAGTTGTGTTTTCTACTGTAGCTCTTATATGGAAAATTCTGACTGCTCTTTTGACTTTGTCTATAGTAAGAGCTTGTTTAGCAGACAGTGTGATATGCAAGCATACTATGTATTTCCAAATCTTTAGTTGACATATAAACATTTTCCAAACTTTGTTGAATATTGAGTATTTTGTTCTTGATATGGAATGTTGGTAAAGGGAATCATTAATTTTTTTTTTCTCCATAGTTACTCATAGAAGTATGTCAGTCAACAAGGGTTTCCATGTGCTTTCTCATTGGTAAGATTGCTGTAATGTCAAACACACTGTATAGAAATTGACAGTGATCTTTTCAATTGACAAGTCAGATGATACCCCAGGAATGTAACATATCTTGTTTTAAAGTGAGTGATCACCAGTAATGTGGATTGCACCTGTGTCCTTAAAAAAATGGCATTGTTGATTTTCATATATAAAGCCTTGTTTTTCAAGTCTGGAATAACTTAAAATACAAACACAATGAGAACTACAACTAAAACTATAACAAATAACTTAGCAAGTTTAATACCTTTTAATAACTTAGAATACACATCTGTCCAATATAGGTGGCATACTTTACACTTGTTCTTAACATTGATTATTTGATTGAAATAAAGATTATTTACTGTGTGAAACTTGTGTCCAGTCTTTTTCTTTATGTCAGACTCAGTCAAGGTCAGAGAAAATCAGATTTCTTCTCTGCTGTATATTTTCTGGCAAGCCTCCAGTTTTCTTGCAATTCCTACTCTATTCCCCAACAATAACATGGTGCAACTGAGAAAACCGTAACAGATATGACCAAAGCACAATTCATTGTCAATAAAGTGAACTTTTAAAGCAGTGTAGTCACCCAAAGCTCTGGCTGACAACACACCAGTATCAATACAAGAATTTCCATCAGTATTGTGCTTTTAGGATCCCTTGGATGTTTATTCTAGTCCTAACATATAACTTTGGTATTACTTTCTAATGAAAAAAAAATTCTACTAGACAAACCATATTGTGGATTTAGCACATGCACTTAAAGCTTTAAAACCAGAATTTTCTACATAGTACATTAGCAGCAAGTTCTCTGTCTAAAAAATTAGCCACTGAATCAAGATATTTCGAGGTCTGACTGGATGAACTGTCCAATGGTTTAGGGAGGATGCAGGAAATAATACTTTGCTGATTTTTTTACATCTGTATGTTTTCCTTTGATCATTATCATTAGAAATTGCAAAACTTTACGCTCAATTTCATTTATCCTATTTATGTGGATGGTTATCACACAAATATACAGAAACATTGTAGGTTACTTCTTAACCCTTTTGCATGATATATTTTTAATACAGATTGGGCAAACAGGATTTTCACCACCCTCCTGAGTTTAATCATTTCCATATGGTGTTCTTTCTTAGTAATAAAATTAGGCTTGTCATCACTGTTTGCAGTCATGTTTGTTTTGCTTTGTAAATAGGAACGAACATGTGGTTGTAGAGTAAAGTATGAAACAAAAATTTATTGCCTATTATAAAAGTATACTTCCACAAAAGTAAATCTAGGTTGTGTCGTGTTTGAAGGTTCTTATGCTAGCCAGGAATTGGAAGGTAGTTCTAAACATTCAAAAATTCGTGAGGTGGCATTCAAGCATCTTTTTTTCTTTAGTTAAGAAAACTTTTTTTACAGTGTTTGAATAGTAATCACACACAGAAAATTCAATCTTTTGATTTGTGTAATGCCTATTACTTAAAGAAATGTTCTATCTAAACAAACGTGGACACCATGTCCAAATATTATGCATAACCATTCCTTCCATACATTGGAGTAGTCTGTTATGGTGGAGCAAGGAGTGGGAGGTATGTTTAGTGGCTGCATTGCTTGAATAAAATGTACTGAATTCTTAGTGTAAAAGACGTAAGAGCAGTGATATGGGAAAAATAAGTATGAAACCTATGCCAACACTAATAATTTTAATATTCAATTAATCAACAATATTATGTTAAAAATACAATTGTTAACCTAAAATGATGATTATTAAATAAATATTTCTTTTACTTAAGTCGGCTCCAGATTTTTAATTGGCAGCAATCAAGATGCTTTTGCAATGCAAACTTACTGTATGGCTATACAAGTACCACACAATGTACATGAACAATATGATTTGTTTTAAATGTAAAAACATGATTACTGTTCTTCATAATGTATTTTTAAATTACCTGTGACTGTTTTAGTTCATTTATGTGAATTACCTATAAAATAAAAGTGTTTTCAATGAAATATATATATATTAGTAGTGATGGTGATTATGCAAATCAGTACTATTGAAGGTTGGAACCTTTGTTCTGTAATGTGTTTTGAAACCCTGAAGGTCAAAATTTACCCTTCACAGTACTAGGACTATAAATTATGATGATAATTGTTTTAGGCTATAAACTTACTGGGAATTTCTTAACCACAACATTATCAAAATATTGATGACAATCAGCTCTAGATGCATGTGATTGAAAGTAATGTGTAAGTGTTCATTTGATGTAAGAAGTATTTGGCATCTAGTAGTCACTATATGGTTATTAAAATGTATCTTCTAGTCACTGCTTTATTGTTAAAAAAATTATCCTCTAGTCACTATTTTGTTGTTGAAATTCATCTTTTACTCTATTTGATTGCAAAAATGTCTTCTGGTCACTGTTTGATTATTAATATGCACCTTCTGGTCACTATTTGGTTGTTAAAATATATGAAGCGTTACTAATTTTTGACTAATTTTTTCTATTTACAGTGTTTAACATTTCAGAAAATTGCCCACAGCATCACTAAGGTCGATTGTCAGCCAATGTTTGATGGTGGTGTTTTAGTTTGCGTTTTAGGTCAACTTAAGGTAGGTAAAGAAAATGGAGTTTGTTTGCAGGATTTTAAATCGGTACACAATTACATTATATCATTATCTCAAAGTTGAAAATCTAAAGTGCAGCATATAAGGATAATGATTTTAATTTGTGTGAGGAAAAAGTTTTAAATTTAAGGTAACTAAGGAAATTAGTTTGCAGAAACATTGTTTTATGATTTTCTATTATGTGAAATTGCTAAAGTACTATTCTTGTCATTTGAATGTATTTGTAAATCAAAGAGGTGAGTATAAGAATTTTTGCTTTATTTCTAAACATTTTGCATATAAACTTATAGTTAACCAGGTTTTACAATAACACCAATAAAGGTAATTGAGCGTGCAAATGTCGTAATACTTATGGAATGTCCTTAGCCTAAGGGACCTTAAGGTGTATGTATGTATGTACATATATGTATTGATACAGGCACATGCAGTTACTTAGGTAAATAGTATATATATGTACTATGTACTACTCTTTTGTGCTTCAGTGGTGTTGAAGCACAGTAGGGTACATGTCAGTGAACTTTCACAAAATGATTTGTTCTTTATTGAACTTGATGTTACCAATGTTCATAGTAGTCGTGTTTATTTCTCTGAGTTTCGTAATGAATAAACCCAACTAGTGCCTTTTCAAAGCAGCAAAGTTACTGCTGAAGTGTGTACCACATTTAACTCTTTCTGTATTACTGGGTCAAAGTGCATGTGTGATGACTTTTACAGAGTTGCATTCAAATTAAACAAGTTTATTGTTAGTGTACATTAATAAAAACGTAGTTTATAATTCAGTTTTATATTATCTAAGTTTACATTTCATAATTTCCAAAGGAAATATTTAAGTAAATTCTCTAACTTCACTTCTCTGCCATTATCCTTTTCAGATTTTCTGTCTGCCTTAATATGACTTTTAGAATTTAAAAACTATAGTTAATAACATGCTAGTATCTAAAATTCAAACCTTTTACATTCTCGATTTGCTGAGATATCAATGAATTTGTTTAACCCACTAAACAAGTCCCTGCCATCTTATTATAGCTTTCAAAGAGTTATTTAAACCACATGTCATCCTTATTCAATGGACATGTTTATAACCAATGGAATTCTTTGAGTTTTCCCCTACAAAACCTTATTACAGATATTTCTTTATGATGGGCATATGTAGACAGTTGACCTTAGGTTCTTTGTTGGGATCAACTCTGAGCAGCTAACTGAATTCTTCTGACCTGTTTATAGCTTAGTTAGAAAGACAGTTAAATTATAGTTGCTTTGGGACATTTTATTCTAGTGCCTGATGTATATATATTTTTCTATGTGTGTGTTCTAAAATGCATATTTGGAAGCTACTGCATGAATATTTTAATTAAACAACTAACTTAGTGAGAAAAAAGCAGGGCTACTGACATGTCATTAAGTGCAAGAGGCCTGAACTTAGGTGTAAATGCTAAATTTCTTGTTTCTTATTTATATTTTTCAATTATTATTATTATTATATATTTTTATGCAAAAGTAGACAAAATGTAAAAATGAGAAACTTTTTAGGTTACGTAACAAAACTCGGATAAAATTTTAAATTTCATGAGCTCGTTCGATCTATATCTCAAGCTCAAGGTATGGGCATGTCTTAAATCTGATCGTTTGTTCATCCTGATTTTTACTGGAAACGTCCCACTATGATTTATTGCTTCTCACATACAGAGAATGGGTCCAAAAGTACAGTAAGTATAACCAAAAACTAAAAACTTAAATGTGAAAAGGTTAGAAGCTGAGGCTGTTAGGATAACTAATTGTACTTGTCTATTACAAGGTGCAGTCATTCTAGGAAAAAACAGATTCATTTTATTTCACTGTAAACTGATGATTTCACTACAGTTAGTATGAGAATAGAGAAAATAACATACAAAGTTTTACCATTATTCTTTTATAAATAAAAATGCAGTGTATTATTGTCTACCATCAAGTTGAGTTGTCCTTGATCAAAAAGTTTGTTGTTGTACCATATGTTCTGAAGTTTTTATTGTCCTGTATAACTAGATTACAAGCTAAAGTGGTGTTTATTAGATAAATTTATTAGGAAAGTTAAAACATTGGTGTGTTGCATATGCATGTGTGGAAAACCTGGAAAGGCAAGGAAAAATGTAGAAAGAATGAGGCCACCCTGTTGCTATACTACCTAGTGAAAGCCTAAGTATTTCGTGAATATGAACACTTAATCTTTGAATTTTCATAAGTACTTTATTTTAAAGTTTGTTTTATTATTAAGACTTTTAACATGTTTAATTTTATCCATTTGGAAATAGCATTTTCTAAAGGAAAGAAAAAAAAACAGTTTAAAAATTTTGGTCTTCATTTTCAAGGTTTAGTTGATTTATTCCGCGAACTTATAATATTTCTATTGGCAAGCATACTTCAGAGTATAAAATAGCAGTCCTCATTCCGCGAACTGGTGAGGGTAAAAATATACAATAAAAACATATATTCTATAATTTGTTGAAATTACTGAGGACCACTTGAGAAACATCTTATACTAACATTATAAAAATTTAATCAACCTTTAAACTTCAACATTTCTTTCAAACGTGTTTTAGTAATATCAGTACTATCTACCTCTTATATGTTTATGATAATTTTAAATGGTTTACTTTTATAAAGAAGAATGGTTGTGGAATTTTTAAATGATTTCTTATACAAAACTTAACTTATAATATTTCTATTGGCAAGCATACTTCAGAGTATAAAATAGCAGTCCAATGGAGGGGAGGGATATTGCAATCGGGTCCTCATGTTATGTGTGTTTCTTAAACTAATAAACCGATGTACATAAAAATTTTACACAAGATGGTAAGTCAGTATGGGACAAACCTCCCCAATTTGGTGTGAATCCAAATTCAGATTCTGGATCACTTTCAAGCATTCTTTATAATGGGGAGATAAGATATTTTCACAGTTTTGGGTTAACAACTCTCTAAAGTGTAATTGGACTTGTACCAAATTTCATAGGCACATTAAGGTTGAGACTCCTCATCACATTACAAAAAAGTATCCAGATTATTGATCACTCTGGATCCGAGAAGGATTTTTGAAGGTGAAACTTGACATTATCCATTATAGACACACACAATCTTGAAAAGGAGCAGTGGGGCTAGGGTATGCAATCTCTCTGATTCCTCGTTTTATATTTTCTTGTTACACTCCCAAATATTTCTGTAGAGCATTATGATATATGACAGTGGTTCCCAGACCGGTAAAATTCCAAAAAAATTTTCATAGAAAAGTACTCGAGTGACTTTTAGTCATCAAATATTGAAAATAAACGTAAATAAGTGTCAGTGCTTTCTACAGCCAAGACACATTGTGAACTGGTATAAATTAATTCAAGGACCAATACCATTCCGGCATTGTGGAAACACCGATATATATTATATCTTAGACAGGAATTACATTCTGTAATGATTTACTAACTAAGCTTACAGTTAAATATTGTGTCATGAGACAAACAACAACTTGAATAAAATCTTATTCAGAAGTCTGGTTATTGATTCACCAGGTACTACTCATTAAACATGAACTATACTCCCGAACCAGCGAAATTAATTTTGAACCAATTTTTAAGAGCTTTTTTTTTGTAAAATTTGTGTATTAAGTATAAAGTACGAGTAAATGACATTTTAGGGTACAGATAATATTGGACTTTCTTTGTTATATATATATTCCAGTAATCAAATAGGATTAATTATGATAAAAAATAGCAATAAACAAAAATGATTGTTTTTAATTGCAAACTTGTACTGAAGCATTATCAGTAATGAAGGTTTAATTTCAATGTCTACATTGAATTATAAACATAATTTATCTCTGTGAATGCAGTGAAATATTCAGGGTTTATCATAAATGTTTTATTGTTAGCTATCACAGTGAAACAGGGTGGCCACACTCACTCTAATATATGTTTTGTAATTTTTCAGGTCTGCACCCAATTTGTAACATGCTCACATTTTTCATTCAAAACCCATATTTCCCTTTTACTTTTTCAAGTTTCCCAAATTTCTACAATATTCCCCCGACCTTTTGGAAATTTTTCATGCCCTTAAAATTTTCTGGTTTGTGGCCAACCTGCTGAAAAAAAAAAAGTTTCTCTTTATAAATGGCATTGTTATGCAAGATAACTTATGTAAATATTAAATAGAACAGATGGGCATGGTAGAAACTAAATCAGTGAATGTAAACAAACTTATTAAATATTTCCAGAACTTTATGTAGCATTACTTCCTTTATTTTCCCAGAATTTCTGAGTTTCAGAGGTTAAGGTGGGGTAATTTGTTACTGCCTTTGATAGTTTAGTTTGAGTACCATTGTTGAATTTACTAGATTAACAATGACGTTTGTCATACATATTTGTTTTATTTTAATTGGTAATATTTGTTACATTGCATGTGGTTTCATCAAAATATTTCTAATACATCCTTACAACTTTTTTTTTCTTTTTTTCAGACAGATGATGATCCTCCTCATACATTTTCTCAAACATTTGTTCTTAAACCTTACAATGAAGGATTTTATGTGCAGCATGATGTGTTTAGGATAGCAGTACATGATGCAGCATGATACTGTGGTTGTCTTCTATCATCTTTTGTTGAAACTGCTATTGTTGCTATTGAAAAAAAAATGTGTTTCCAATTTCATTGTTACAAGTGTTAAAAAATAGGGAGGGATTCTTTTTCAGCAGAAACAACATTTTGTTTAATGTTCTTTTTATTGTATTAAGTATTTTGAATCACTTAGAGAGAAATAAAGATGGCCTAAAGTATTTTTTTTAACTACTTTCTATTTATAAGTACAAATCTTCAGTTTTAAGAAGAAGAATTTGCATTAAAATGTAATTGCTTTATTATACAATCTTTTGAATTTATTATCCATTTTAAATACACTTTCTTAAGTATGTTAACAGAATGTTTCAAGACATCATGCTTCATTACTTGTAAATCATAGCATCAGCAGGATTTGTTAGTAACAGTGCTCACAATTTAAAAATTTTATCTCCATATCTCAGAACTTTATACTAGAGATATAACCTTTATTGGTTCATAACTTCCGTGTTCTAGTTGTTTTTTACTTGACAACAGCTACTACCCATATCTGAATTGGAAGAAGAGGTTTATTTAATTATCTTGTATCAATTCCAAAAATAAACATTTTCCATAGACAGAATTGTAGACTGCTTTTTTTTACAAAACATTGCATCATTGATTATTGATGAGTTTGTTATTACTTATAACAGGATGAGTAAATTAAACATGTAGAACTGCAAATGTATTTTTAGTACAAGATTAAACCATTTTTAGATATCTGTTAAATGTAAAGTATATGTAAGTTCCTAAAACTAAGTGAATATTATGCATATTATTTGAAAGACAATTGGGAAAGTTTAAGACTTAGCAAAAGAAAAACAAAGTTTCAAAAACTATAATTTTTAGTAGTTTATGTTAGCATTTGTACACACACACACTAGTACAAACAGTGAGAAAACTGATACATAAAGTAGAAACAGTTAAAGGTAAGATTTACTAACAACTTAATTTCAGGAAGTGTTTTAATCTTAAACTTTTGACTTGATCATAATACTGCTTTAAATAAATGTTGTAGTTTTACTTGACCATTTAGAAGCAGCATTGAATTATATAAACTATCAAAGAAGTAACCACAAGTGTTACACAGTTTATTTACTATTTGGTTCGGTGGTTAGTATGCTGGACTATGGTTCTGAGATTCAAGCCCTGTTACTACCACAAAAAAAAAGCTCTCTCCACTTGGGGCTATAGATGTGTTATAACAGTGATGGTCAAATGCTACTATTCAATCTAGTCCAAGGGTAGGCAGTGGATGGTGTATACTAGTTGCCTTTCCTCTAGTTGATCACATCAAAAGTAGGGACTGGAAGTGTAAACAGCCCTCATGTAGTCTTGCACGAATTTCAACTAATACACTACATAGCAATAAAGCTTAGATTCTTTAAAAGTCTATAGAACCTACCATAGTTTTGAATTAATCCATCAAATTTGTTGTTTCTTTTATGTATAATAATCATTTATTGATATCACTACTGTTCTATTTCATATTTTAAGTCATTTTTTTATTAGGGTTTCATACAATCTTACATTTAGAGTGATCTTTATGTATGTACATATTCACTTTTTTTTTCAAAGGTTTGTAATATAGTATCTTTTACCTCATTCCTAGTGCCATTCTAATAGTTATGCTGAGCTAGAGTGAAAATTTTCGCTAATATTGCACATCTTAAGCTAATATACTAAACAACACTTGTGGTTATATTTTACTTAGATAATATATAATTTACCTCATTTATATTTTATTGTCATACACATCTACCAGCAGATTTATTAAGTTGTTAACTGATAGAGTTGGGAATTTCACAAGTATTGTAAGATACATCAAAACGTGCACTTGATTTACCATGCAAAATTCCACTTCAAACTCTGTTGCTGTTGTAACAAGGCAATGCAGACACTTGCAAGTTTACAAGGAAGACTAAATTTTCATACTGTTGAAATGCAATTACATCCTCACTTGAATACATTCGATACAAATTTACATGTCAAAGCAATATCTTAATGAAGACTGTTTTTGATTTACATTTTAGTGAGATGTTGTGATAGCAACCTTAGAACTATGTTACAGGTTTGGACTTTAATGTTTAGTATCAATGATACCTTTACAAAGGCCATATTTTGGGTTTGCACTTTAATGATTAGTAGTGATGATATCTTTATAAAGGCTTTGTTTTGGATTTTTACTTTAATAGCAAATACCCCTGACAAGATCTTTAGAAGGGACACATTTTGGGTTCATGCTTTAATAACTAATAATGATGAGATATTTACAAAGACCATTTTTTGGGTTTGTACTTTCATAACAAGTAGTGACGAGATCTTTTTTGGGGTTTTCAACATAAAGACATGTAGTATTGAGATTTTTACAAAGACTGTTTTTGGGTTTGTACTTCAGAAAGAAGCAGTGAGAGATCTTTAGAAAACTGGTTTGGATTAGTACTTTCATGACAAGTAGTGACAAGATCTTTTGAAAGTGTTTTTGGTTTGCACTTTACAGAGAATATTTAAAGCCACAAAAATTAAACAATTTTTGGTATCTAAAATCAAGTTTAAACATGAAATACAATTTAGAGTCAAATAGAACAAATCAGTTTTGGAAAAAAATTTACTATACAAAATACAGGAAAAGCAGACACATCTGTCAGTTCACAAAGCATTGTGTGAATGTAGTTAAATATCAATCATTATTTTAAGGGCATATCATCCATTAATATTAAATATTAAAAACTGAATTATTAATTCCAAAATTTGAAACATGAGAATGTAAAAAATTTATAAATAAAATGTATGTGATTCAAAAATATAAAGTACATGCCAAATAAAAATTAAGTTCCATCACGTTTTGAAAACTTTGTTTTAACTTAAAACACAGTGTGACACTTTATAGCAACAGAGAAAATCAGAGCATAAATGTAAACAAAAACAAATGTAAAAATAGATACATAAAAACACTAACATGTGGAAATTTATTTTTAACTTGCTTCCACTCAAGTTTTCATCTCAAAAATGTCATCACTGTATACTACATTATTTGTAGTATGTATTACTTTCAACATTCTATTAACAATACCTTCTTTTGAAAGACACTTGATAAGAAGTTATACTGTATATCAAATTTTTTGTAATGAAATTTAATGTACTAAATTGGTTTTCAAATCTTTAAATTAGTGTTGTTTATTGCTCATTGTGCTAATTGTTATCAATCAAAAGACAAACTATTAATATGTAGGCTTAAAAATAGATTTACCTGTCATCACATTTATGTATATGATGTTAATGTACTATAATACTTGCATTAGTCTGGTTGTAAATATATAACTGCTAGATAATCAATCCACAAAGGATTCATTTAAACATACAGATCTATCTAACTACTTATTGGTGCTTTTAAAGAGTGATTATAAGCATTATTAGAATTGTGAACAACAAACATCTTTAATGATGTCAATTCAGCTGTAAGGCATCCTGTAGCACAGTAAAAGCACTACCATTGAAGAATCTGCTTAAACAGTGTTCATTTACTACCTCCTATGCTTTGTACATCTAGTTATCAGCCACTATAGTATGATTTGTTCTGTATAAGACTGTCTTAACACCTGGCAGCTCATTTTACATATGTGGTTCAGTATAATATCACATGCGTATATGTAAGCTTTCAACTGCAAGTCGGAAAACTTAGTTGCACTTTACTGATGTTTTTTGCTGAAATCTAGACTATAAATGTAAGAAAAGGCAATCTGAAAGAGCACTTACTTATTTCCATTCCGATCCCGAACAAAATCATTGATCTCCTACCCATTTTTATTAAAGCTAATCATATTCCATTGAGATTTGTTCATTAATTGCTTTACGAGACATTTTACTCACTCATATAGTTTGTATGAATTAACAAGTACGCTCACAACACATGATGTGTAACCAAAGTTTTTGTTTGTTTGTAGTTAAGCACAAATCTGAATTTAAAGATTTAGCTGTGGTTATGCCCCCCAGTGGCACAGTGGTATGTCTGTGGACTTACACTGCTAGAAACCAGGTTTCTATACCCATGATGGGCAGAGGACAGACAGCCCTTTGTGTAGCGGCTTTTATTTTTCAAAATCATGGAGCCAAATACATCAACAAATGAAATATGACAGTCAGATAACTTTGTTTGCTAAATTCTTACAGTATTTTGAGACTACAATATATGAATGTAATTTTTGTCAGTGTGACTAACTAATCATCAAAATTAAAACCAAGTTTATAAATTAACACAAATTAATAATTTACTCGTTAATTTATTTTCTACACCAAAATGTGAATTTCAGTGAAGAAAAGATGAAAGAGAGAACTGATCTACCCATTGATGCACTACTCCTGCTGCAACAGGCTAGTTTTGCCAAATACACCACGATAATATCACATCATGTCACAACATAATTGTTTTTAGACTACCTATACAAATTAAAATTGGATCAACCATTATGTTAAACCTTCAACAGGTTAGTACACTGATGTAAAATTACTGAAATTATGCTGTGCTATCTAGTAACATTTTTGTAAAATACAGCCACTTGTTCTAGAATTCCCAGTTTGTGTGTGTATATATATATATATATATATATGTGTGTGTGTGTGTGTGTATATATGTGTGAATGAGCCTTCAGTAAAATGGCCATTTCAAGAACAAGGCTAGTAGATGTAATAATCACTCAGAAAAATATTAAAAGGAACACTTGAATTAACATATTTTCTTAATTGTAACATTTGCTTTATGTTGATGTATGAAAAATTTAGTTATGGAAATTAATTTTTTAAACATGTTAATAAAATATGCAAGTAATAATTTGTGCTTTTTTTTGTAATAAAAATATGTACCATTTTTAATTTGTGGGATTCTATTGTTTCATAAATTTATTCTGTGTCCAGGAATGATCCTAGTATAGTTTGACTTTTCAGTTTTTGAAAACTGTCAAACTTCTCTATAAAAATGACTAACTTGACACACATTTATGTTCACTAGAATCTCTGTTATTGTGTACAAGCATACACTTGACTATATGCAAAAGCTAATTAAATAGAAGTAAATTTATTTCTACATGCCATATTATTCATTTTTAATTACAATATACTTGGAAGTTTACAGACCACTAACCATCCAATATATTATTACACAGAAAAACTAAAAACTGCTAGTTTCCAAAATTAGAAAATTACTGTTCATTTAAGGGGCATAAAAATAATTTGATACCACATCTCAATATTATTCCTACATCTCGACACAATATATATAAAAGGTTTGATTTCAAAGATGTGATAAGATGCAGTGCACACATACATTTGGACTAAAGTGTCACAACAAATGGGTGGATGAGTGTGAAAACAAAGGGTTCTCTGCAGCAAGTCTTTTTTTTGTGTGTAGTAGTAGTAATTGAGATAAACTAAATTATAATTTTAAAAAAGCCTAAAGAAGATGGTCTTTATGCTAAATTTTATTTTTATTTATGTTTTAGTGCCTAGTTGTCCTTAACTAATACTGAGATTTAACCAGTCTAATTTCTAGGATTTTCCTGTACACACATGCATGCACAAAAACAGTGCCAGTTATGCTGGAGATCTAGTAGTAAGATTAATATAAACATTATTATTATTATCAGTAATTCCTTAGAATATAGAATTTTTGCCCTAATGTTTTAGATGAAGCTACACATATATTCAGTTAGTATGAAACAAATGGCACATCTGTCTCAGGCAGGGCAGGATTAAGGATGCAGTGCATCTGTGAGCAGTTTCAGCTCTGTGGGCCCATTAAAAAACAAAAACAACTACCAACAGCACAACTATAAAACATATCTTTAACTGGAGCACTTATGATCTGAACACCTATCAAGTGCCTAAAACATATAAAAATACTTCCCATTACTTTTTACAGCTATATTCTGGTCAGTTCCTGACCTTTCCTTTCTCTTTTATTTCTCAGTGTACAGATAATTCTGAGATAAAGTAGTAATCAAGGCAAACAGTTCTTGTGCTAAGCTGATTGAAAATGCAAAAAAAAAGACAAATAGACAGTGAACTCAATTAATATCAGTGGTTACAGTTTCATTAGTTTTGGATTACACACACACACTCTCTGACCAAACTTCTTCCCCCTATTAAAAATTATTAATATGATCTTAACAGCAGGTAAAACTTGACCCTGAATGTTTTGGCCAACTGCATGCCCACTATGCATGTTAGTTAATTTGGCCCTGGTCTTGGAGAATATGTTAGAAATTATCATTAAATATCTGAAAATAAAAAAGCAGACTGTAAGAAACATGTTTGAAACCAAATGCAATGTTAGATAAGCTTATGATACAATAATTCAATTTGGTTTGAGATCTAACAAAAGCCCAATTTTAACAACTGAGATTATTTATATTTTCTTCTAACACAAATTTCGAAGCACTTGCTGAATATATATCTATAAAAAAACTAATTATAAAAACAAAAAAGGCCTAAGTTACAGAATGACCTTGGATACATTGTTTAACTGAACAACACATACGCTTTAGCTGATAGAACTGTAAAACACAGTAAGCTGAAGATGACTAGAATATGGGAAATTGAAATGTTTTATGTATAAATTCAGCTAATATGCTACAAAAATACAATAGTCATGTAGCTAGTTAAATAATTAGTATTACTAAATAATATTACAACTAAGTCAAAAGAAATAAAGAATGCTAAATTTAATTTAAATTAGTGGCTAGAAGAACAAAAAAAGCGTAATCATTATTCAGAGAACTTTATCTTTTGAAGGAAAACCCACAATAAATAAAATTAACTGACTTTCAGATGAAACTCATTTAGGATACAATTGTGCTTTAAAACACTTTTAAACATGGATATACTGTTGGAGTAAATGTTTTTGATTGGAGTGTTTTTGTATACTTGTATATTGCTTATTATGAATGACTCCTAACTGAAACAAACATTCAGCCATGATTTAACTGCTCTAAAATTAAATTATTCAATTTAATATGTTTACAGACTGCCCAATTGTAAAAAATAACAAAAGAAAAGGTAATTTATATCTGATATTTCTCAGCGAAACATTTCACGTTTCAACATAACGCAATAACATAATCTACTATATATACATATAAATACACACACACAGAAATTTTACAAAATGTCTTTGCAACAACACAAAATTAGCTTGTTTTTATTTAATACTATTTAATTCTATTTTTATTGCATTTATTTTTGTAAAAGCATTGTGTTATGTCAATAAAGCTAAGTTTTAAATCACACATGTAAATATATGGTTATCACACCAGAGCTAGTAATTTATCTAAATCATTTTTCATGTACTTACTTGGCATTAAACTGTTAAAATACACAAAAAAAATTATTTTGTTTTAGAGCAAAGCTACATAATGGGCTATATGAATTCTGTCCACTGCAGGAAATTGAACCTCTGATTTTAATACATATAAACACAATATGATCATAATAAGTGTGTAAAAACAACAAAATATCTTAGCTACACTCAGTCTTTTTCTTTTTTGTTCTCAGTTTCTTTATGGTTTTCTTTGAACTCCAACAAATATTTTTTTTTCTTAATAAAATACAACTTCAGTTTCCCTCCTATTTCCTATAAGCATTATAAAAATGAGATGCTGTACAAGAACTAGAATTTTAATGTATATCCTATAACTACTATAATGTCATAGCAAAATAATGAAATCTAAAGTGAAAATTTCAGTCACGTTTTTGAGCCCATTTCATGTCATCTGATCGGGGCTTGCAGCCCGTCATGGCTTCAATTATTGTCTCCCAGGTCTCCCAGAAGTGGAACTTCTCAAGGGGATAATTTAACCAGCCAGTTGTGATGCAGAAGTAGGTCTCATGTGGTGCTACATGGTGGATACGATGGTGACGTTGAGGGAGTATAATGTGGCAATCCTGCAACAGAGTCACCCAACGTGGAAGTCCAAAATAAGTGTGGGACCACTTGTGAATCTGAAACATGAGACATGGTTGTTGCAAGTTAAGAAACAAAACATAATACTCTTCTTCTAATATTCATGCCTGCTAAACCAGCTACTATATTATTATAAATTACATGATTTTGTATTAAACTACTCAACTCTTACAAGTCAGGTCGTCATTATCATTATTCACCAGAATGTTGCTATCTAGAAACAAAGAAAAGATACAAACTTATTTAATTAATTTAGAAACACTGAGAAGATTCTTAAAACTTATTTGACTGGTTTAACAGTAGCTAGAATATATTTAAAATGTACATTAATCAAATAGCATCAGAACTTTAAATTAACATGGCTAAACATAAAATGCAATCTTCAAACTTACTTGATTAGTAGTAGCAACAAATAAAGCTAACAGAAAGAGGTAACAATTCCAATTGTAGAGCTCCTGGATTTTATCACTGGGATAGAAAAAGAACTGATAGCTCATGTATGCCAAAGAAGGTACTGTAACCATAAAGTTATCACCATTCGTTTCAATAAAGTCATGGCGAGTAATTGCTGTTGGATCAATATGATGTTCTCTAAATGGTCTAATAAAAGCCTGAAACAAAAAGGTTTTATATCTTTTCAAATTGTGTATATAATAATTTTAATGAAAATGTCTATGACAAAGAAACCAAACATTTTATTGATTTTAGTTTTAATATTATGTTCGATCTACTGAAATCATACAAGTAATATTGATTTTAGATCAAAAATTAATTTTTCTGAAGATTTGTCTTGCAATAAAAAAGATTTAGTCAGGAAGTCATTTAAATATATTTTATACAAACTGTATGATGAATGTTACAAACAAAGAATGAAGTGGAACCATCTAGATTATAAATATCTATAGAAGTACAAGTGATGTAAAAAATAATTACATTCATTACAAAACAGTTTCTAGTGAACAACTTTATGTGAAGCCATCAATAAGTACCATGTCTGTTACGGTAAACACTGCTTTCAGCCTTACATCCAATAACACTTTACCATGTTTGGTCTGTTAGCATCTTTAGGTTAAACGAAATCATAAATAATAAGCACTAATACAAAATTAATTAACCTATGTGTCTTTTTATAATGGTAAAATGTAAACGCAATGGAGTTCAGATATACTCTTAGACAGCACAGAGGAGTGTCGACCTATTTCAATATTTTAAAAAGTAAAAGGTTAGCTATTTTAAATTTTTTTAAACAAACATTTGACTTTCATGTAAATCTCTTAAATTTTTTCCACAAAAGAAAAAGTCCACATGATTTTGAAAAAAGAAAACACACACACACCACTCTGTGGTACTTACAATGCCCTGTGCTTACATCCCTTACACAGAGCAAGTATGATGATACTAGTAGCTGACAAACATACTGTTGTTATGTTGAATATAGTATAACATTTGCTTTAAATTTTTCTATATGTTGTTCCATTCTAACTGATATCATTTACATTCATTAAAAACAGTTTCAATTAATTTTCCCCCTCAGATTATGTATTTGATACTTGAGACTTTATTTTATTAAAATACTATTAAAACAAGGGAAGAAATTCCTTGTGATATATTTATAACAAATAAGATGTCTATTCATTCAAATCCCTAGTTTTCTTACTGCTGCTTAACCCTATCTTTATACTTTATGTGTACATTGGTAAACACATGCCCAATTATTTCATGCTACAGCCATTAAGGTTTACAGCTACATCAAATTACCCATTATGCTCAATTTCTACACCTTTACAAACACACTTGTTTAATTTCATGACATATGCTTCAAAGTTCACAAAACTCACTTCACAGAAGTAACCACTGAACTTTTGTTACTCAGAGTTATCAACAAATCCCAGAATATGGCATGAACATACGACATTTACAATGGATTAAGAGCTGTGAGTAATAAATGAACCTGGAACAGTAACTGGAATAAAATCTTATGAGTTATATGACAATGCAAATATAACTTTAATTTATAAAATCTTTACTGGAAAATAACTCAGGTAAAAGCAACTGGACGAAATTATACTGATTGTGATCTGTTAGCTATGGTATTGTATAAGGAGTAGGCAGCTAAAACATCTGACAGATTTGGATATTTTTGCTGAAGTTGACTCTGGAATATCTGTGCAAAGAATACACACTTAAGAGTAAAGATATAAACAAAAAATGCAGTACAAATGATCAATCTTCAAAATAGCAGATAACAAATGACAGAACATAAGAATTATTAAATTCACTATACCTTGCCAATTACTGGAAGATCCACTGAACCCCAAGTGTCAGCTGCCCAATGCACTAGTCCGCTCAAGAAATCTGCAGTGATTATGCCACTCACTGTAAAAAAAAAGCAGAAGTTATGAACTGTGTATACAATTAAGTAATTAGGTGGAAAAAAACTCAGAAAATTGTATTTAGTCTCTGTTTTTTTTATCAATTCTATACACAAGATTTAAAACCTTAACCTCGTTAACATAATTAATGATACTAAAAATTCCATTAATTTCATCACTGCATGCATGTTGTTAATTATTTGTTTGTTGAATTTCATGCAAAGCTACTTGAGGACTATCTTCAATAGCTGTCCCTAATTTTGAAGTAACAGACTAGAGGGAACGCAGCTAGTCAACACCACCTACTGCCAACTCTTGGGCTACTCTTTACCAGCGGATAGCTGAAAGGATGAGCATGTTCAGTGATGGGATCCGAACACACAGCCCACAGATTGCAAGTCAAGTGTCCTAACCACCAGGCCTCATTTTCTTAAACCTAGGAATAATGACAAAGTACATGTAGCCCTGCATCCAGCTTGGATAATTTCTACAGAGTTTTTAAAAAAAATCATGAAACAGTAGTAGTAGTATAACTGATGGCTATTTAGAAAGAGGCATATTTATAAGTGTATGTATATAGCTTTATTAGGACTAGTCCCCAGCATACTTGCATATCAAATTCCACAATTTAAATAAAAATAGTAATTCTAACTCTATTTCAACAATTTTTTTTTGCCCAAAAATATCTAAAATACAAAAATATTTTGTAACCCTGCTAAATTTTAATTAGTGTAATTTGCAGAGAAAAGTTTAAAACAAAATGTTTGAACTTTGATATCTGTGCATTTCCAGCAAGCATTGCCTTTCACATTTTTTTTAGAATTTTTCTGCCCATCTCGAAGTATAGGTTTATATTTGCACCAACATTAATGTCCCTTACAAATAGGTTCTGTTAGTCATGTGATATACCTTTAACTCTAAGTAACTATTTCAAGAATAATGTCTTGAGAGTCTTTTAATGATGCCAAAGTGGTTTGGACAGTAGCTTATAAATCTTTGCCTCCAAAAAAGATAGAAAAAACAGCTATCTACATCATTTTAAAGTAAACAAAACTGGGTAAACTCACTAATTTCTCATAATGGAGAACAATAGATTCTAATGCAAGATTTACAACACTAAGGAAGAAGCCACAAATCCGGGATTTTTTTTTGTGTTACATTATGTCTGTTGTAAAACTACAGGAATATTCATATATGAGATGACATAAGGTAAGGATATTTAGAGTTAGTAAGAATTGTACACTAACACTAGTATATCTGACATAAGGATATTTAGAGTTAGTAAGTAGGGTACACTAGTATTTCTGCAATGACAAACTATTAAGATGGCAAAGAGGCTTGTTTATTTATGTGCATTAGTAAATTTATTATCACTCAAACAACACATTCAAATACAAGAACTTAATTATTAACAACTTATAATAATTACATAGAAATTGAGCTTGAACAAAAATATATCTCTTATATTAGTGTAGGCCTGGGATACAAGTGTAAGTTGTGTTTATACCAGTCAACACTTTTACCTCTCATTGGTGTTTTATGCTATCTTTGCAGCTAGATAACTGCTTCAGTAGGTAAAGAGAATTAACAAATAAAAATAAAATAAGAAAACAAATTAAAATTTTAACAGAAAGTAGGGATCATTGATTATTCGTAAATTGCTATATGAAGTATCCAAAACAAAATAAATGCTGCAATAAGAAGTACACAAACAAGTAAAGTGATACTAGCTGGATATATTTTAAAATGATTTCAATTCCTAATTTGGTTGGCATTGTGATCCATATAGCTAAATCAAGCAGTCTAAATTTGCAATTTTATGAATAACCAGTGATCCCTACTTTCCGTTAAAATTTGTTTTCATATTTATCTGTTCAGTAGTTATGTGTCCATGGAATGGACACAACATCTATAAACTTTCTATATAGCCATATCCCTGATAGCTATAACTTTTACAATAATTAAAACCACAATCACAAATTTATAAAATAAAATCCTTATTTTGGCCTACAGATAAGTGTATAAAGCTGCCAATGTAGGGATTAAATTTTATAAGTTTGAGATTTTGGTTTTAATTCTTGTTTCATTAGTTTTTATAGCAGGATCCCTACTCTTGTTTGTTTACTTTTTATGTTATACCTTTATAAAGTATATACTTTACCTTTAGAAACTGTCGCATATATATCCCTTGATATGTAGCACTATCTGTTGGATTGAATTGGGTTTAAAAAAATCTGTATATATATTTATCGGAATATCAAAAGACCAGTCAAGTAAGCTGGAGAAATCTTGTAGCAATAGTCCAAGCCTTCTAGGTAGGTGATTAGGTAAGTTGGTAGGTAGTAGACAAAAAAATTACTGTTTTAGAACTTTTTGAATTGTTATATCAGAAATGTTAGCAACCTTTTTAGTGTATTATTAAAATATATGTGCATAATATGTCGTACCCAATATATTGAATGGTCGGTTTTTCACTTAGGAATTTAATAGGGTGGTTTTTCTGCACATTAATTATTTGGAAACCTTGTCAATCCCTACTATTAAGAACTACTGTACTTAAAAATAAAATGCAACTTACTGATCAACAGTTTTATGTCTTTCTTTTATATTTTTCAATAGTTTTTTTTTTGTATGTAAGAACTTATATGAACAGACTTCTCGAGAAAATGAGTATGCCATTAACTAAGATACAAAAATTATGGTTTTATTAAAAAATAGCTCTGTTGGATACATTTACATGATTATTAGCACTCAATAAAAAATAGAAATTCTACAACAAAGGAAGTATTTTTTAATATTTCTTTAAAACATTTCAGAGATTCATAACTGAAAATATGATAAAAATGCTCAACCAAATTATATAATTTTTTAAACACAAACTACATGTACCAAATTTTGAAGCAATTAGGTTAAGCAACATAAGTGGAAGAAATGGGTGTCACAATGTCATCCATGTGGTCCTGATAAGTAACAGATGTACAGTTAATCACTTCTGTAAACAGAAAGCTATCTTCCCCGTGCATCTGTTTTAGAGTTTTGCATACCACTAGCATTTAAGCAACTCCCATCTAAATTCACGACATTTCTTGTGATGTGTGCTCTCCATAATGATGTTGTTACACAGTGAAAGCCCTCCACTAATAGGAGGGTGAAACAACCTCCTAGTGCACTAACTCTCTCTATGCTTTTGCACTTGTGATCATTCTTTGACAAGGCAAGGAAACTAATTTGAACCAAAGTGAGGAGGAAGGGTGGGAATTGTGTGAAGAAGTGAGTATCTATTGAAAATACATTTTCAGGTAAGGAAAATTTTAACTTCCGAGACAATACACACTTTTTAACACAGAAAGCTAATATCACACATTAATGTGGTTGAGGGACCAGTGCAAAAGTTACTTCGATGCACTCCATTCAGAAAGCATCTGAATAAAACCAATGAAGTGTGATGCCTGATGGCAGAGGTGCCATAGGGGCACACTCATAGGAGACTGCATCACATCTCTTACGGGGTTGGGTATGGGCAGAGTAATAACATGGCCTTCCAAAAATGAGCACACAAGAGGTCGGAGAGCCAATATGTGTAGTATGGTTGGGGTGCGTTCAGACCATATGTAGAGCTCACCTCAACTCTACCAACAGACTTATTGGACCAACACCAGCCTGGGGAAAGAGAGCACAGGAAGTATTAGTGCATATTGTTCTCAACACTACTGTCAGATTCTTGAGCCAACACCAGCTGTGGGAAGAGCACACAGAATACATTCCACAGATTGTACAATGTTAGAATATGTTATCCACCAACTCAACTAAACAGCAGGTGCAGTAATAGGAGGATCCCTACCAACTGCACATGTGAGGACTTGTGTGGGCTGATCCTACACCAAACCAAAACCAGACCACTCAGGAACTGACATACAGGCACTGTAGGATGGGGGAAGCTGGAATGTTATGTGTATAACTGTATGAGTGCACCACACTAACAGTGTTACCACCACCCCACTTCCCAATCATTAGCACTATTTGTTCAGCCTGCAACTATTTGGTTCAAATCAGAGAGAGTTCTTCATGGTCCATCACCCTAGTGGCTAGGAAGTGGTAAGGGCTTCCCTTGCTCCACTTGTAGAAGGGGGGAGGAGGGATTAGTGGTGAGGAGACCTGGAAAAAATGCCCAGAATCCCATCAGGTGACCTTTTAAACCTATTTTGAAAAACCAGCAAGCATGAACCTGGGAAGCAGGCAGAGCACCCCTTCGTGCTGGCTTTTTCCATGATAGTCCATAGAATAAGTACAGTCTGGATTGGACAGTACACACAGATCTGAATTTAACATGAGAATACCTCCAGTAGTCTTGCAGAACATCCCATCTCAACAGTGGGCGGATGGTATGAGTACTTTCTGTTATCCTGACTCTATGCTGAATTTTGAGAAATAAGTGTACTCTGGGAGGCACCACCAGCCACCTAGTTGGATCCATGAAGTGCTGCTGTGAAAAAGAAAAATGAAAGAGAATGTACTCACCTGGCTGAGGATGATGGTTAGACTGGGGGATAGCAAACATAGATAGGCAGTAACCCTCCAAATGGTGCAGATAGTGGGTAATGAAGATGTGAGATATAGTCCACATACCTGCCTGGAGGATCTTATCAAGCAGTCGTCAAAAACAAGAGGCGAGAGAATGGGTTAGGTGGTAGACCTGATGTGAAGAAATATAGAATAGTCAGCAAGCATTGACCTCTAAGGAGAAATAGAACAATCTGAGCAGTTAACTGTGCAGATGGCAAGTGAAGGCCCTGACCACTCTGTTGAAGATATAGGGAGCCGATGCAATTCCGAAAAAAAAGAGCACAGAACTGGAAAATGTGATCCCAATGAAGGAACTGTCAATAAGACTGCAATGGGAATATGAAGGAACACATCCAAGACATTGACTTTGGTCATCCATAGTCCCAGTAAGAAGGTCCATCTGAGGGAAGAGAAATTTTCCAAAGAAAAATGAGAGACGACCATGAAGCATCTCATGAAAGAAAGGTCAATTACTGGCCACCAGTCCCCAATCTTTTTGGGAACTATGAAGAGGTGGGGGAATAAAACCCCAGAGAAGAGTCTTACACCCTTTTTTATGGCCTGTTTGTGCCAAATATCTAACATCACGTCTTCCAGACATTGAATATAGATGGGCTCCAAAGGAAGGGAAAATGAGCTGGGTGTTGGCTGAGAGGGGGGAGATGAGGAGAATTGGAGGGAGAGCAACAGTAACTTATTTGTCTACAGATAGTTTTTCCCAAACATGTGCATGCCTTGACAGATGAGCTCTCACCAGAATCGAATCTGTTAAGTAGTCACCAACGAGCCCAGCAAGACTGATGTCAGGTCGAAAATGGTTAAGATGAAGAAAAAAGATGGGAAGAAGGAAATAAAACACAGGAAAAAGGCAGACTAAGATGAGAGATGGGAGTGAGGTGTTGGTGAAGGGTGAAGAAAGGGGGCAAGGTAGAGGTCTCATAAAAAGAGGATGTAAGATGAACATAAAAAGAAGGATATTCCTACCCAACAAAAATGATCCAAGTAAGCAAGGAAAGGGATGAAAAAGCAGTACAGGCTATGATAGAAAGGAGAAGAGAACAAGCATCACCAATAAAGTCTTCCAGGGCTGTGTGAAGTGCCTCTGGCATGATATGTAAAGAGAAAATATAATGAAGCACAGAGAGAAGGATTAGGCAAAGTTGAAAGAATTGGGCACTGGAGAGTGAAACCAACCCCAAAGGGCCTGCCTCTCTCAAAGGCAAAAGAAACTGCAATGTCTGTGACTCCAGAACAGACAAGTCATAATGAGTGAATGTCATGATATAGGAATCATAAAGGTGAAAATGACGAGGCATACTATCACAGGAACAGAGTTGGTCTAAAACAGAAGTAGCATGAATGCTAATATTGGGAGAAGGGGGGGGGGACATAAACTTTGTTAGGGTTATGAAGGAGGGAATGGGAAGTGTCATAAGACACAGGAACAAGAGAGAGAACAGAACATACCTGAGATATAAGGTCCAATAATACGAGGAAATCTGAAATCCTTTGTCAGTAGGAAGAGAGGTTCTTAAGGCATAACATGGAGGAAGAAACAAACACTCAAAGTCGTCATCCTCTTTATACTCCCCCTTAGAACAATGGGAAGGAATGCCAGACAAATGGACAGGTGCTGAAACTCCTGGCTACATAATAGAGCACACTACCATATGCACAATGTCCATTATGTCATTCATGTTTAATGGGCCTCCTGTAGCCAAGTGTAAAGTGTGAAACTTGGCTAGTGTGAGGATATTCCTCACTCACACTAGAAGTTGATGCGACATGAACTTGAGAGTTCATATTTGGAAGAAAAAAGGAAACAAGGTCCTTTAATCTATTGCAAATCTCTAAACTGAGAAAATCAAAAGATGTCTGATATGTTCAGTGCCAAGGAAAAAGAATGATCACAAGTACAAAAGCACAAAGGAAGTCAGTGCATTAGAAGGTTATGTCTCCCTCTTATTGGTGGAGAGCTTTTGCTGCATAATAACATCATTATGCAGTAGCATAAATCACAAGAAATCTTGTGAAGTTAGGTGAGAGTTGCCTAAAGGCATGTGGCATGCAAATCTCTAAGGCAGACATATGAGGAAGATAACTTTCTGTGTGTAGAGGTGTGTATCGTCGCAGAATTTTAATTCTATAAACCTATTCCCTTAGATCCAGAAGTTCTTGTTTGTTGGATGTTGTGCAAAGCCACAAGAGGGCTATCTGTACTAGCCATCCACAGTTTTGAAGTGACAAATTAGAAGGAAGGCATCTAGTCAATACCACTCACTGCCAACTCTTGGAATATTCTTATCAGACCAAATAGTGGGATTTGACTGTCACTTTAATAATGCACTTATGGCCCCATATTGAAGAGTGTGTTTTTTTGTTTTGTTTTTGTGATAATGGGACTCAATCATCCCCACCAGTTAATGAAATGAATACCTGTAAAATATAATCACAAACCATATACTTACAAGATGCTACCAAGATGTAGCTGCATTTGCTTAACTGAAAATGGTACAGCAGGTGAATGAAGTTTATAACCATAAGAGTTAGACAGCTTACAACTGAAATTATTTCCTGAAGCCTTTTTCCTATTAGAAAAAAAAAAATTCACTTGAGAACTTTACTAAATTTAACAGTAACAGGAAACAGTAAAAATACTATAAACTAATAAGATGCTGCAATTTTAAAGTTATAAAGTTGCATTGAAGAAGTGATGAAAATGTTGGAAAAATAAATATAGTGTTCTTAAAATACTTACTCATCATTTTTGAAATAACCATCAATTAAAATATACATGGAAAATTTCATATAAAGTTGTTAGTATCAAAACACTATAAAGGTCAATTAATTTCAAAATTCAGTCAAATAAGATAAAAAATGTTTACATAAAAGAATCTCTAAACTTGCTTATGAACTGAAATTATTTGCACCAATACTTGTGTTTCATACATCAAGTGTTTTTACTGAACCAAAAAAGTACAAAAAACTGTATCGACTAACTATTGTATATCGTGTATCTATTTGTGTAATCTTCATATTCTATGATACTCAATATACTTTACAGTATAATGTCTGAGTGTTGAGTTTTTTAAAACTTTTTGCATCAATGAAACTGTCAATATGCAAATCAAAAACCATTTATTTATATATTATTTATTACAATATTATCTATGACACTATTATTATAATCTGTTAGGAGCAGAAGTGACACAAAACACAGTCACATGCACAATATTTGAAACATTTAAAAACAAACAAAAATCATCAAAAATTAGCATCATAATGATATCTCACTAAAAGCCTAGCTCTCAACAAATAAATTATAACCATTTTATTATCCTTCATAAATAACTATTCACTTAAAATTTCTCTTAAGCAAAGATATATAATAAGTTTAAAAAATCAAGATGTAATACAATGTTAACTTTCTCAGCAATGCTCCTGTTTGGATCAATGAGTGTGTCTGAACTCATTGCTGTTACCTTTGTTGTTTTTCTCCTCAATTAAGATTATTGCTATTTTCACCCAGTGTTTCAAAAAAGTAGTGAATAAGATTCCTTCAAAACAAGATCATTTTGATACGTTTTTATTTCAGTCCACATTAAAAAATAATGGATTATATCACGCACTGTTGATATCAAGAACAGCAGCAGCTGAAATTCTCACAATAGCAAAAAATCTCCTTGTACTTTTCTTACATCTTTACATTTACGATATTCCATCAGTCAAATATGATGACAAATTCTTGTGCATACTTTGAACATTGTTCTAAATGTATATATTTGCACATTAAGCAACTTCCAGGTAACAAGAAATTGACCTAATAAATCTATAGGTGCTTACAAATGCAGTAAAATAATTTCAACGCCAGTGCTTTTAGCAACTGTTCTTCGATTGAGGTAAACTGTGAATCTAGAAAATATAAGTCTAAAAGAGTATGTATGTCATAGTATCACACGATGTAGGCAATGTATGTTAACAACTGTGTGTGTTACAGAAGATTCAGTGGATTTAAGGGAAAGTTACTTTGTAAAAAAATATACTCCTATTGTATCATTTACCTGAAAAACATTGCAAGCATCCCAAATATTTTGAAATGTGTTAATTAAAAACTAAAGCTTAACAATAAAGTAAAAAAAAAATCTAAAGTTTATCAAGTACCTAAAAGAACAGCCAGAGACACAAGGAAAACTGTTCTTCATTAGAGAAGAAACCCATACAAACTCAAAATAATGCTACAAACAAGTTTATTAGAGTTTGGCCACATCATGTAGTCAATTTCTGTTACATGACCTCTTTGTACAGTAGATAATATTTTGAAAACCTAGAATAAAGTGTATACAGCTGAATTTTTTATTGCTTATCACAGCATGTTTTCACAAAAATTGAAATTCAGTACAAATGAGATTAATGTATCAGATGCGGCCCAAAAGGAAAAAAGATGCTATGAAGTAAATATTTTTCCAAACATTATTGCTGTATTTCACATTCAAGCACCCATAATGTTTCTTTGAACTGGAAAATATTTTGTGACCTCAAAAAATAAATAAAAGTATAGTGTGTTGTGACAGAAAATTCTTTATTCCACCAATCTAACTTCCGACCTTGTCATTCAATTCAAGCCATTTTTGTTCAGATATGAAAAAAATAAGAAATAAGTTGAACAAAACTTGAAATCAATGAGACTTATCTGTCAAAGTTACATTCATAAAAGTAACTGAAAGTTACTGTAAATGTTGAATAAGCTGGAGTAAAACTGCAAATCAATAACAATTAGGTATGTGTAAAAGTGCCACTAAGAGACAAGCTAACACTTGACATTTATATATTACACTGAATTTATATTTGTATAAAGTTCAGCAGAATTGGTTAGCATCTGTCTAATGGCTGGTATGTGTATAAAAGTTTCTTTGGGGTATTTTTACGAATGATGAAAATGAAAAATCTTCAATTATTTTTTTGGTGCTAAGAACAACATTATCTGGACAGATGCATGTATTCAATTAGATCAATGTGTCACCTGGTAATGGTGAAATCTAATGAAAATTATTAGGAAGTCAGTGGAAAGCTAACCATCATCTTTACTTTTATTTCAGGAATTAGAATTGAAATCATAATAAGAAGGTGAAAAAAAATTGCATGAAGATTTGTTCTTAAAAAGAATTATGTCCCCTATCAAAAGACTGATATTTGTGGAATGTTTTACAAAAGGAGAGGATAAAGGGTTTCCATAAATTTGGCAGCCATTGTAACATTAATGAAATTAATATTTATTTTCTTGTTTCTTTGCATATTGTTTAGAGAATAGCACTAAGCATTGATGAACACGTGGAGATGATCTGGATTGAGCATCTTCAGTAAAGTATTGATTTTCAGGGTGGACATTTTGATCATATTTTGTAAACATATATAAACATTAAGTTCATGACTAGGGCTAGGCAATTAGTGGAATGTGCTAATCGAATAATCGTTGGGTGTATTCATAATTTACATTCAACTAATTGATTATTATCACACTATTAGAGACCTGCAAAATGTTTGTTGTCAAATTAGTATCTTTATTGCAACAGTATTTCTTTAAATACAGGATTTGTAGAAAAGTACAAATGAAATATAATCATAGACACCAAAATATGTAAGCCCACTTGTATTGAGGTCATACTTTATAAAACCTATGTTGGACTTAAGTTCAATAAAGAGATAACACTGTACCATGTACATTTTTTACATCAGCTTAGTTAGGACAAAACTATACTGTTAGACCTTTTTGAAAACTTCAAGCTTTTAATGTTATTGAACTGAATGGTTAATAAAGAATATTTACATCCACCTTTTTTTTTAATTATTTCTTCATTCATAGAGCAGTTGTAGTGACTTATTCTATGAGCTTCCAACTCTCTATTATTTGACATGATACTCATGGTTACAGTTAGCCCTTATAGGTTATCAATTATATTGATTAATCGAGTTAATAGCCCTACTTTACTCATGGCAACCACAAGCATAAGTACTTTCAAAGTTCTGTTGTTTAAGTTTATGGACAGAAAAAATTATACTTTACAAAGACTTCAACGATAATTTATCAGTTGTTGTTGTTGTTTTTTTCAAAGTAAGGAAATGTGATATTACAGTTTTTAGAATTATTAGTCATGTTTCATTTTGCAATTAAAATTGGGACACATTTTATTACCTTGAAAATCTATCACCTTAACCCTACTCAACTACAATCTCTTTGTATAAAATTATGAATACTGTTTGAACAAGCAACACTCCAAGAACATTCTCTTAGTTGTACACATTATAAATAAAGATAAATGGCTGATAGTTTGACGATGTAATAAAAAAGCTATATATTTTTCTTCCATAAGTAATTTGGTAAATATTCCATAATATAAGTGTTATTAATTGATAAAGCAATTAAAACACATAATGTTAAAATATCAATTCTATTACAATTTTTAAAACTTACAAGATTATTTTAAAATCACCTGTTTTATGTGAAAAGTTTTAATGTTTTTTATTTGATACTTGAACTAACACAAATTTTGTGTATCACATTTTAAATTATTAGAATCAATGTGAAAACACAAAATCATGAAGCAATTCAAGTCAAATTTCTCACACACTACATACAAATATAAACATTATGAACCATATATGGTACCTTTAGTATAGTAACTAGCTAGTTCTTTAGCCCCTGCATGGTTTGGTCCCCATCTGCGAATTCCACTGTTTTCCTGGTGTGTGTCAGAGTTACTGTTTGGATCATCTTCTGGCATTGAGTTTTCCCATATCTGCTTCTCAGTCTTCACAGGATGTAGTATTTTACAATCCATCATGAACTACAGAAGGTAAAATTTAATTTTTAATTCACACATACTGTCCTCCTTAATACTAAAACTAACCAGAAGAATATCCTAACAGACTGACTGCTCAGTGAAACCTTCAAACAAATCTCCTTACTAGTGGAGTTTCACCATTTTTTTTTATAATTTCTGAATAGGGCTGACTAATTAATTATTGATATGTATTTTCTATAAAAACAAAGAATATATAAATAATGTTACAGACAATTTTCTGCATGTAAATGGTAAAGGTTGTTGTACTTTGTAAATGTAAACAAACTGGTATGCAAATACAACAAGCATAAGAAATGTTAGACAGATAGAGTAAATAAAATAATGTTCAAGTCATCTTAATGATTAGATAAAATACTGTATATTCATTTAAATTTATAAATTATTAAACAAACTAAATTGTCAGCAAAGTGATGCAGAGAGAGCTGAAATTACTGTCAGTATACAAAACTATTAAATTCACAACAAAGAATTTAATACCAGACTAATTACCTTACGCATTACTGATTGCTGTTCATGAAAAACAAACTCAACACAGTATCATCTAATGTAACGAAATATTTCCAACTTTTTTATTTCTCTTGTAACAATTTTTCAAGCAAGTTTACACTACAGTCTGTATGAATTATTACAAAAATCGTCCTTTGCAAATTACATAAAGCTACCTAGTCTATATAATTAATAAAGCAAGTAAATGAAAAAAACTAAATTGATGAAATAAAATTAAAAGCGGATATAACGTTACATATTGAGTTTAGTTTTTGGGTAACATCCTATATTTACAACTGCAAGATTCAATACTGTCAGTGTCAGTACTGGGCGTGATTTCTGTACTACTGTAGACAGCCGTAGATTACGGAACTTCAGCCTCATAATTAATCAGTTACTAACAGTAATACAAAAAGCACGAGAACAAAAGTTTTAGTCAGGTGGAATACAATAAAAGAATGTGCTAATAATTTTAATGATAGTAACATATAACATTTAACACTGTGTATGTTCGTTTCAATTTCCAAATACACTAAACATACAACACTCATAATTGAAAATCACGTAAGAGAAAGGTATAAAATAAATATTAATAAATTAGAAGGCCATAACTATAAAAAGTTACATATATTTATGTCTGACTACAATGAGTAAACTAAAAAACAAACACTTATAAATAAAGAGCTCAATTTACATTACCTTCGTAACAATTCGGAAGCACTCTCATAAACACGAAACAGTCAATAATCAATATAAATATTAAATGTTTGATTCATAGAGGACGCCACATTTGCAATTTGTTTTTTTTTTATTATTATTATATACAACACCAACTATTCGGATTTTTTATAAAAAGTTTGATACTTTCTTTTTCTTTTTCAATGTCACCAAGTGTTGATATTTGCATAGACAAGACATTTCTACGACATTTTCTGTTTTTTGCATATTCACACGGGAATTTCTAAATTTGCTAAATCAAACAATTAATCTCACTACTTCTACCTATATGCGTCAGCGCGAGTAACCCGGGCAACCGCCGTTGTATATTTTGTGGTGGTGTTTGGGTGAAAAAGCTAGTCGATGAACTATCCACGCTCTGTCTACAGCAAGAAATCGAACCCTGGATCAATGTTTCGGGTATAAATTTACAGTATAAAGAGGCATAAAGTTTTTATTTAGTTAACAAGAGCCATATTACTATAATTAGCAAATTAGTAAATAACATTACTAAGTAATTTGTCATGTTGTAAAACTAAAATAAATCTTATAGTGATTTTTGAAAAACATATGCTACTGACGCAGCTAGATTAATCTAATCAAAAACACCTTAGGTGTGAAAAAGGTACGGCCAAAAAATTATTCAGCGTGCGACATAAAGAAGTGAAATGTAAATTTATGACCAAACTGGTAGCTACACTTATAGCATTGCTAAAAAACTTTACAGAAAATATTCATTCATTAGTAGGCTAGGGCGTGTATTTTGTTTTATCCACCATAAAGAAAGAAATAAAGTAACTGAAGGTTGTATCATTTTCTCAGATAATTCAAAAGAACCTGTCAAAGAAAGAACTGCGCTACAACATTATGTAGAATAATAACATGAACAATCACAGCAAAGGAAGACATGTGGTGCAAGTGAACAAATAAAATAAAACTTTTGTTCTATATTCTGTTGTGAATTCTCATTACCTGCTGGGGTAGGAGAGCAAGATAATATCAAGTCCATACAGGATAAAGCAAAGAAGAATGTAATATCATACCTTCAAGTCATACCAGGGTCTCAGTAGTACCCCAACAATCCTTAGATTACATAAATACCTACATCAATGACAATTCCAGATAACATATACAAGGGAGAGAACCTCAGCTCACACTAAACTAACACTTGTTCATGTATCTATGTCACTACTGGTTATAGAATATTTGATACTCTTCTCTTAGATATTGAGCTTGTTTATGTAGGTTTAAAGAGCTTCATCGGCAAAATGCTAGAAATATATATATATATCTAAAGAGTGATTTTATTCTCTATTGAGCAGAGAATACTGAATACTGTGTAATTTGTTCTACTGTCACATATATTGTTGCAATGTAAGTAAATTCTGGACTGATTTCCTTTTTCGGTTTAAGATGCTTGTGTTTTTAATTTATGCCACTAGATTTTGTATCATAGAACCAATATGGGCCTTTTTTCATACAGAAATTAATCCAGCATTTGCTTGCATTATAACAACATGTGTAACAGGACTAACTAATGACACAGACTTCAACATTTTGTTCTCAGCAGAGAATGAAACCATTCTTTGAATAAAGGAGTCTTTACTGATTAGACAAATGAAACCAGAAATAAACGAAACTATATCACTCTTTCCTTTATGTCAGATATATATATATATATCCATATTTTTTTCTGGAGTCAAGTCGCACGTTACTTTCATTATGTCATCAATTGGATTAATATTATTACTGTCAAAGCTCTTTGCAAACAGTTTCATAAACAAAACTTATGAATAATAATATAAATAAGTTCCGATATAAATGGTTTATTGATGTTGTTGTTGTGCTTTAAGCACAAAGTTATACAATATCATCCAGACGGGATATAGTGTACATGCAATGTCTTTCGTCGCTAAGAACAATTGATTTTACTACAATTATGTCAGAACATGTTTGTTCCAAGAGCTAGTGAGTGTAAAGTCCATATAACTTCACGTCAAATAATACACGTCCAGCTACTTTGGTCAGATCCCTAACCATGCTACCTCGTGGCAACAATCATTGTTCAACAGATACAGCCATATCACATACAAGTGAGTCCTTATACTTTTGTCTGGATGTTATTGAAAAAGAGCTTGGGAGCAATGGGGAAGTACGGAGAAGAGCTGCAACAAACACCTTATACTGATAACTAAAATTAAACTAACTACTTCAGAAGCAACAAACAATATTCCTCACCTTGAAGGTTTCGTAACCTCTCTCTGCTCACAATTCTATTCTGCCTTCTGATACAAGTTAACATATGCGGTATTTGGGAAATCTCATATTTTCTTTCTTTCTTAACTTAGAAAGGTAAACTTGAGTTCACCAAAAGTTTTCAGATATATACATTTTCAGAGCAGACTTATGTAACACTCATGTAAAAAACAGTTTAGCCTGAGAATACTGCAGAGTAGATAAGAAGGAGAAATTTAGGTTTTGTGACCATGGGATTTAATGTGGAGTTTTCTGTTTTTGCTAACATGCATATTGGCCTTTGCTTATTCTCTTTGATATAATAGTTCAAAAATATGTTTACTTAAAAATGACTTATTCTCAAAGTAAGAGTACTTTTGACCAAGGGGTAGAGTTTGCTACTGGAGAGAGATATTTCCATGAAATAGGTCTCGAGTTCAGGATAATTCCTATCCTGGACATAGGACTTTTTTTGATGCTGCAAAGGTCCCTGACACTGATCAGCCTACAGCTTAGGATGACCAGTAGATCAAACAATGTCCTGAAAGATCACTCTTGGCAAAAGAAAAGCAATAAATTCTGAGTATCACTGAGGTGGAATGGCACCTAACATGCCTGAGACCACTTAGGGAGGTCTCTACGGGACTCCTTTGCTGTTCTTAGCCAGAGTATCACAACCCCAGTTCAGCTCGAAAACAATGATGTATTGGGTGCAGAGGTATTATTTATGCTTACAAGAGGGCTTATTAAGTCGGAAATGGGAAGATACCAGTGGACAGAAACACAACAACTACAGCTGGTATTTCCACAGTATCTACTTTCTGAAGCACTTCATCATCTCCACAACCTTCCAACAGCTGGACATTTAGGTATTAAGAAGAAAATGGAGTGAGTAAGAGAATACTTCTACTGGGTCGGGTAACAGGGGTTTGTAGAAAATCAATGTAAAACATTTGAACTCTGCTGTGAGCGAAAGGGTCCATGAAAGAAACCTGCACATACAGCTACTACAGTAGTATTTTGTTGGAATTCCATTGGAGGGAGTTGCTGTTGATGTGCTTGGTTCTTTGCTTCAGAGTAACAGTGGGAATAGATAGATCGTGGTTATGACGGACGATTTTACCAAAAGACCAGAAGCATATGACGTTCCTAACTTGGAAGCAGAGATTGTAGCATGAAACTCGTTAAAAATTTGTGTCAGGATTTGATGTGCCTTTGGGTTTCACTCGGGCCAGGGACAGAACTTTGAATCAGACTCGTTTGTGGAAATGTGCCAGATTCTTGACGATAAAAATACCAAGACAACAGCCTTTCATCCATCTTCTGATGGCATTGTGGAGAGATACAACCATACAATTGTTAAATCAATTAGCCTTATATGTAATGAACATCAGAAAACGTGCAACTGAGATCTTCCACTGTTACTGATGACTTAATGTACAGTAGTACATGAACTTACAGGCAACATATCATCATCACTGATGTTTGGGAGAGAAGTTAAAATGCACATTGGACCTTCTGTACTCTTTTCCAAAGAATAGTAACCCAGAAGAATCTTGTACTGAATTTGTAGAGAGATTAAGGAAAACAATCAATGCAACACTTGACTTTACAGGAGAAAGACTTGAGTCAGTTAGTGATAAAATGAAAAATTAATGCTGATAAGATTGGATTCCATTGAGGTAACATGATATGGCTGTACAATCCCTCCAAAGTCAAGCAAATGCTGGGAGGGGTCATATATAGTGCTGAAAATGATTAATAATGTAGTTTATATAATCGTGAAGGATAGGTAATCCAAGCCAAAGGTCATCCATTGTGATCATCTTTAGAATTAAGTCAGTGAAAGAATAGCCAACTGGGTAACAATATAGACAAACTTGTCCAAGGAAACTGAACCTGATTAGGAAACCCGATTTCCTGTTGAGACTTCTTCAAGAGGATCATCAAGGATAGAGCCTCCACCCAGAATGAATTCTCCCAGTAACAGGATGGCCAGTGACAGCAAAGGGACGAAATGCCACTTCAGCTGTATGCTATGGGCCTTGGAAAAGAAAACCACCAAAAAGACTTGGTGAATGAACTGCTTAATGTAGCAGGCCCGGCATGGCCAGGTGGTTAGGGCGCTCAACTCGCAATCTGTGGGTCACGGGTTCAAATCCCCATCACACCAAACATGCTCGCCATTTCAGCTTTGGGGGCGTTATAATGAGATGGTCAACCCCACTATCCATTGGTAAAAGAGTAGCTCAAGAGTTGGTGGTGGATGTTGATGACTAGCCGCCTTTCCTCTAGTCTTACACTGCTAAATTAGGGACGGCTAGCGCAGATAGCCATCGCGTAGCTTTGCGCGAAATCCGTAACAAAAACAAGCTTAATACAGTGTTTTATTTTATTTTTTGTTATTAATAGTGTTCAAGAGGCTTGAAATACAGAGGGACGAATGTTGTAAGTCATGCCATTAATGTTCTAAACTTGTTATTAGCTG